TTTAATTCAAGGTTTTAAATTTTCAAGTTCTTGGATTACTATTTGATTTTTAAATATTTTCTTATCATTCCAGAAATTATCAAACTTTTCAGTCAATATTTTAATCATAATCCTATAAATCCTCTAACATGTTTAATCCTAGCTATTTTTACACCTTGTGCAGAGCCCAATGTGGGGCCTGAACTCTACCCTGAGATCAAGACCTGAGCGGAGATCAAGAGTCAGATGTTCAACTGACTAATCCACCTAGCAACCCTTATTTTTAGCTATTTTTAAGTCCTGATCAGTTTATTTCAATTCTTAGACTGTCTGTGGGTCTGTTCCTATTGTTTGATTTTACTTTTGAGTGTGGGTAACATTTTCTTGTACAGTAGGTAATTTATGTGTCATTTTGACATGCCACAGAGCACTCAAATTAAGCATTATTTCTGGATGGTCTGTGAGTGTGTTTTGAGGTGAGATTAGCATTTAAATTGGTGGACTCAGTGCAGTAGATGGTCCTGTCCAATGTAGATGGGCAGCATCCAAGTCAATGACGACCTGAATAGAACAAAAGGCAGAAGGAGAAATTTGCCCCTTTTTTCCTGCCTATCTCTCGAGCTGGGACGTCTTTCATTTTTTCTGATTCTTGAACTGCACTTCTACCATAGGTTCTCCTGGTTCTCAGGCCTCTGGACTGAAGCTGAATTACACCACCAGCAATCTTGGGTCTCCAGCTTGCAGGGGGCAGATTGTGGGACTTCTCAGCCTCCATATCACATGAACCAATACCTCATAATAAATCTCAATAAAGTATAGATCTTTATCATCTATAATTATAAATAATATAATAATAATAAATAAATCTCACTGTATAGATATACAGGTGGCCCTTGAACATCATGATGGTTGGGGTGCAAACCTCCCACACATTCAAAAACCCATATGTAACTTTGGTTTCTCCAAAATTTAACTATTTAGTAGCCTACTGTTGACCCGAAGCCTTACTGATAACATATGTTATCAGTACATATACATATGTACATATACATATACTAATAACATAGCCTTATGTTATCAGTACAATACATATTTTGCATATGTATTACATGTTGTATTCTTACAATAAGCAACAGAAAAGAAAATGTTATTGAAAAAAACATAAGGTAGCACCTGGATGTCTCAGTCAGTTAAGCGCCCAACTTAGGCTCAGGTCATGATCTCATGTCTCTTGGTTTCGAACCCCACATTGGTCTCTGTGCTGGCAGCTCAGAGCCTGGAACCTGCTTTGTATTCTGTGTCTCCCTCTCTCGCTGCCCTTCCTCCTTCACACTGTGTTTCTTTCCCTCTCTCTCTCAAAAATAAACATTAAAAAATTTTTTTCTTTCTCAGTCTCACTTGTGTTAGCATAACACCCTCAAGCTTCATCCATGTTGTTGTAAATGACACGATTTTATACAAGGTTTCTTTTTTTATAGAGCCAAGTAGGATTCCATTGTGTGTTTGTGTATCTCACATCTTCTTCCATAAGGAAGAGAAAATAGATTTACAACATTTTACTATTAAAAAAATTCTACATGTAAGTGTACCCACACAGATCAAATCCTTGTTGATTGAGTATAAACTGTAGTAACAGAAAATAGATATTCTGGTTCTACTTCTCTGGAAAATCTTGACTGATACACTTTGGATTTTTTGCATATTGAGTAATTTTTTTTTTATTTCATGCTGTCTTTGTAAATGATATATAGTAGGGACTCTGCATTCCTTTACCTTCCTCTGAAGAGTGTTTTTTTTGTGCACAAATAGTTAATATAGTGGAGGATCACACTGGTCTGGTGGAGCCTTTTTTTATTAACTTATTCATATATTCGTTTCACTTTTATCCTCAGTGCCAAAGCAAAACTAAGTCCTATTAACATGGCCTTGACACCTACAGGGTTGACCTTCTGTACTTGAACAGAGAACTACTTACATTTATTAAGCTCCTTTTAGTTGATGGAACTCTAATTCCTAACTCAGTCTTCAGAGCACTAGGAAGTTGCTGAAATCTCTACTCTGCTCCTCAACTTCCAGATAATGTTTTTCCCTGGGATACTTGATATCTTGCTTTGCATAGGCATAGTTTAGTGGTTACCCAAGAATTTGGAAATACTTTATACACATATTTTGAGGTTTCCAACTCACACATCCCCCCTCTGACATCCCCAAATTCCTTCCTCTGTTATCTCAAAGACTGTGGTTTCCTTACTGAGGATGCTGCCACTCCCACATCCTGCAGATGAAGAGTGCTTAAAAGAGAAAAATGATATAAATGCCGATTTAATCTTTCTTGCAAGAGTCTAATTTCCTTAAATTTCTGCCTGCTTTTTCACTCACCAATGCTTTCCAAATTTTGTTTTTTATATTATGTCCAGAGTTTTTATAATTGTTATTGGCAGGAGGTTTAGTTCAATATAAACTTTTCTGTCACTAACAGAATGTGAAAATCTTGAAGATTTTCTCTCATAAATATCTTTGGAACATCTTTATCTTTACTGTCTCTACCCTCCTGAAGGTAATGCTCATCTCTTATGAGGATTAATATAGTACCACCTCCATATTTGTTCCCACTCAGAGTGATCATCTAAAAATGGACTCTTGGCCATGTTACCGCCATGCTTAAAACCATGCAACACCTTCCCATGGTCTTTGCTTAAACACCAACGTCTTTTAATTGACTTCAATGGTTCATATTACTTGGTCCACTAATACATCAGTTATAAACTCCTTAACCATTACATTCCAACCAAAGTACATTCCTTTACATTTCATAAAATATGCCACGAACCCCTGAAACCTGAAATTTCACACTGCTCCCTCTGCCTGGAACATTACTCCTTCACTTCATTTGACTAATATTATATCACTTCTTAAGTCTTTACCTTTTCTGGTATATTTTCTCATGGATCACTTGTATTAGACTAGGGTGTCTGTTCTATATTTCTACAGTACCCATAAGTAGTCATTTCACTTATAAATTCTGTTGTTACATGTATTTTGTCTAACTAGCTGTAAGCTCTAGTAAGCCACACACAGTGTCTTCACTATTGAGTATTACAGAGTCACTTCCGCAGTACCTACTTCTAGTTACAGCACAATAAATGCTTAATAAACTCATAAATTAATGACTATAGCTAAGTTTTAACACAACCTGAATCTCCATTGATAATTTCATAATTTAAATGGCAAGGACTAGCAGCCTTGTTTATTAATATTTAATATATTAAATTAGAAGGCTATCTTTGTTATAGATTGTAGCCTTATGTCCAAAAGGGATTCTAATGTATCCACTTCTGATATAAAAATTTAGAAAATAAAAGATTATACAACTATTTAAAATCTCCATAGCCCCCTTGTAATTCACTAAGTAGGTTTTTCCCTAATTCTTTTCATGTTACATGCATTATGATTAGTAACTAGTTTTCCATTCCAATTACACAGTTTACTAGATTTGTGATTTCAAGCACCTTTTTTTTTCTTTTTGTTTTCTTTTTATTTTTCGAAATCCAACTCTCCAAGCTGCATTTTCCTCATCTGTAAAATAGGGATAATTACATAGCTTATCCCATAAGGCTATTGTGAATATAATAACTTCATGTAAAGCATTTGTCAGCTTCTAGCACATAAGCATTTTTTACTTCAAATAATGCAAACTAATAGAACATTTTGTAAGTATACTAGATCCTTTAGGGCTTAGTAAATTAGAATCTCTATTAAATACAAAAAGCTTCTTATAATTTAATAATTCAGACATAAATATCAAGGGGGGGAAACTTGAGATTCTAGACCATGAACATAGAGATCAAATACTTGAAGGACACGGGTCAAAACTTTTGATTTTAATATACTGCCATATAGAGAACATAACTTTTATTTAAATTGTTAAAGCTAGGAGGCAAACAGAAAAAATGTTATTTTTCTTTTAATGCTGAATAAATGGGTGGTTATAAAAGGCAAAGAGATTTATCCAAGTTGAGTAAGTGGAGAGGTATGATTCAGATTCCAGATTCATGAGTCTACAGGCCACTTTCTTAATCTCTGCATGAAGAGCAGGCATCATCAAGGGAAAATGTCGATACAGGAAGAACCATAGGCAGTATCTACAGAGCTCTGTGTAACACAGACAGGGTAGCAGCACTATAAGCCATGTTCTGTATCAAAATATCTAGGTTCTATTCAAACATTTTAGAAAATATAGTACATAGAAGGAGGTCATTAAACTTTAAATTTTGCATTTAACCAATATTAGTTTGATTTTGAGAAAATAAGTTACACATCTTACAGAGAAAAAGGGAAGTTCCTGGAATGGACTACATACATGTTTTGTAATATATATATATTTTACAAAATATATACCATATATATTATATATATATATATATATATCAAATATGGCAACTTCCATCCTTTGAGCCATGTACAAAATATCAAACTATCAACAAAATTTGATATAAAATACAAATTATTCTGATAAAACTATGTCTCATAAGTATGGGAACAGTTAATAAATGGAGAATCTCAATTATTGGCCTTTGGGCTTCAAGCTATGGTATGATTTATACAGAACACCAAGAAAAATCCAAAGCAACTTCTGATGAGCCTAATTTGTTCACTCAATGAGTACATCTGAAGCACATAATTAGTACCATGGTAAGCCAAGCCCATTTCAGGGAATAGTATGGTGATCATGGGGCTGTTTGGCCGTGAATTTGGCACTGGTTTGTGCTGACTCCAGGCATTAGAATTCTATGCCCACCTAACAAATGTTAGGTGTGCCATGGAGATTGTGGAATTGCCAACCATTCAGATTCTACAACATTAACACATAGGATTCGAATTGTTTTGCAGGAATCCACAGTCACCAAGGTCACTTCTAGCTGAATGTATAACATTTAGAGAGTCTTTGAAGATAATTCAGGGATCTATCTGTATCCATTCTCTTAAAGAGAAGAGGTCACAAACTTTTTTAAATAAAAAATTCCTCCTTAGTACTGAACAAGTTAAATCATTCCTCATAGCTTTCAATGACCAAAAAAGGAGTAGAAATGCCTAAAGAATGTGTATGTATTGAATTTCTACAAACTTTGTCAGCCACATGATGTGGAACAAGGTATTTTTGCTGTTTTATTGAGTTAATCCACTGATAAGGCTTCCCATAGTATGGCTTAAAATGAGCATATCCCTACCACTAATTCTAATCCTTTAATGAAAATAAACCTATGGACTTTTTTTATTGCGTTACCTGCTAAAACTGTTCCTGTGGGTAATCATCCCCATTTACCATCCAGCCTGAGAATATTATAATTGAAAAGGTATAGAGAGGTCATCTAACCATTCCAAAATCCCCTTCTGCAATACCACAGCCTAGAGTCACTCACTCAACATTTCTTTGAATACCTGAAGAGATAGGTCTTTAACCTTTAAAGTTTTTAAAGTTTTTCCTTACAGATTATTTTTAATATATTTTTGAAGTATAATTGACATAGTGGTTTCAGGTGTAAATCCAATGATTCAGTATTTATTGTATACACTGTAAAATGATTACCACAATAAGTCTACTTTCCTAACCACCATATTAAGTTACATAATATACCATACAGTATTAGTGACTAAAGTCACTACACTGTACATTCCATTCCATTTCTTTTTTTTTTTTTTTATGACTAGAGTTTGTACCTCTTGACCCCCTTCTCCCATTTCGCCCACCTTTCAATCCCCCTTCTCTGGCAACCAACAATCTGTTCTCTGATTCTGTGAGTTTGGCTTTCTTTTGTTTTGTTTGTTTGCTTGATTTGCTTTTTAGATTCCACATATACATGAAATCACATGGCGTTTTTCTTTCTCGGTCTCACTTGTGTTAGCCTAACACCCTCAAGCTTCATCCATGTTGTTGTAAATGACAAGATTTTATACAAGATTTTTTTTTATAGGGCTAAATAGGATTCCATTGTGTGTTTGTGTATCTCACATCTTCTTAATCTTCTCATCCATCAATGAACATTTTTGCTTGTTTTCATATTAATATCTTGATATGTTATTTTCCTTTTGCCATCTGAGTACCCAAAAAATAAACCTAAGCTCTTTTTCATACCATAGCCTGCCCAGCTTCTGAAGGCCACTCACAACCTCCTTTTGGGCAGAACTGCCAGGTTGCACTTGCTCTTTGAAGGACAACCACATGCTGAAGACTTTGCAGAGTGGGTATATATAATTTTTGTTCTTTTAGGCAAAAGTGTTTCCTGTTTATTAGATTCTAGTCATTTGAATTAGGATTTAAACATGAAAGTAGTAGAGGCCAGAATTACAGCTCTTTAGAGCTTGCTGGGCTGGTGTGGAGGATGAAGTTAGACCACCAACCAGAAAGAGTAATTATGCCCTCCTGATACTGCTTGGTTTCAAAATTCCACTACTTATATCAGATTTAACTAACATATTAAGCCCCTATGTGGTTCCAATTACTATGAACTATGCTTTCCTCTACCTTTAGATTCACTGAAGAACCTAATTACCTAAGGAACCCTGAGGATGTGTAGCAGGAAGAGGTCTGACTTACTCAAAGCTTCAGCTCTCCTGCTCATGAAACCATCATTTATGAAGTCAGACACCATGATGAACGTTTTTATACAGTTCATTTCACTTCATTACCAGTTCCAGGACAATTATGTTTATATTCACACTAAAAATTAAAAAAAAAAAGGCCCTCAGACTCAAAAGGGTGACTTGCCCACCCACAGTTAATAAGGAAGAAGATCTAAAATCTAAATACAGATCTGTCAAATCTAGAGCTCTCCCTATCTTATTAGTATTCCATGGCTGACAGCTTCCTTATCCCTGCTGCCTCCTGATAGCTAGAATTTCAATAACAAGACATCCATAGTTTTATGCAACTGGATAGTAATCAGAATTACCTGTGGGCCAACACAAATAAAAACCAAAGATTGAGTAAGCAAAGCCACTCATAAGAAAAGTGCTCATCAGCAAGACAGACACTGCATGATCTTGCTTATATCTGAAGAAACCAAATTTCCAGAAACAGAGAGTAGATCGGTGGTTGCCAGGAGCTGGGGAGTGGTGGATTTATAAGATGAGTAACTTCGGGGGATCTAATCTACAGCACTGGGACTATAGTTACTAACACTGTATTAGTATAGTATACTTGAAATTTGCTAAGAGAAGACCTTATGTGTTCTCACCACACACACATATGCATACACATATTCACAAAGGTAACTATGTAAGGTAATGGATGTGATAACTAAATTATCATAATAATCATTTCTCAATATGTACATATATCAAATCATCATATTGTATACCTTAAGCTTATGCAACGTTATAGGTCAAATATATTTCAACAAAGCTGGAAAAAGTATTGTGCATTTTAAAAAGCTTGATAAGTAAAGCTACTATTTTTTAAATCTTGTTTCAGGTGTGTGTGTGTGTGTGTGTGTGTGTCTATGTACTAAGTTATGACATATAATGCATTCCTTTAACCATGGGTGAATTTAAAAATGTTTGAAAGCCAACTTAGTAGAATCACTATAGCATTACCGAGAAAGATGGATTGGAGAGAGAGACTATTAGAAACAGAGAATCTAATTAAGAGGCTATTATAGTAGTCCAGAAAGAATGCGAAACTCAACTAAGGAAATGACAACGAGGATGGAACAGAATGATTACTAAAATGTATGAAGGAATGTTTAAGGGGTGCCTGGGTGGCTCAGTCACTTAAGCATCCGACTTCAGCTAAGGTCATGATCTCTCTGTTTATGGGTTCGAGCCCAGTGTCAGGCTCTGTGCTGAAGGCTCAGAGCCTGGAGTCTGTTTCAGATTCTGAGTCTCCCTCTCTCTCTGCCTTTCCCCTGCTCACGCTCTGGCTCTGTCTCTCAAAAATAAACGTTAAAAATTGTTTAAAAAAAAGGAAAACTTAATTACCATAATGAAAGGACAAGGAAAGTACAGGTGGGCTTCAGATTTCTGGCTTAGATGAATGAATGATGCATGACCATTAGCTGAGGGATTAAATAAAAGTGAGAAGCAGATTTTCAGGGAAAAACAGTAAGTTCAGTTTTGAATCATACCCATCAGACATCAAAATGAAATATACAGTTCTGCAGGAGAAGACTTTGGGCTAAAGGCATAGGTTAGGGACTCAGAAGTTGATTGATTATATGATTCAGAACAAGCGTGGACTAAGATAAGAGGTCAACTACAATAAGTTGAGGGAAAAGAATCAGCAAATAAGATTTAAGGTTATTGTCAGAAAAGTTGAAAAAGAACAGGAGAGAGTGGCTTTAAAAAGCTAAAGGAGAGAAAGAATAGGTTTCCAGATGGAGTAGTCACAACTATTTAAATGCCAAAAGATATAAAATAACATGAGGACAGAAAAACATCTTTGGTTTTCACAGTTAAGTGCTAACTAGTGGGCACCTGGGTGGCTCAGTTAGTTAAGCGTCTGACTTTGGCTCAGGTCATGATCTTGCAGTTTGTGAGTTCAAGCCCCCCATCGGGCTCTGTGCTGACAGCTCAGAGCCTGGAGCCTGCTTCAGATTCTGTGTGTGTCTCTCTATACCCCTCTCCTGCTCGGACTCTGCCTCTCTCTCTCAAAAATAAACAAACATTAATTAATTGATTTAAAAAGTGGTAACTGGCAACTTTTGTTAAAACAATTTCATGTAAGTAAAGAAACTGAAACACAGATTGTAAGATAAGGAAATGAACATCTGTTATACACACATGTACAAACACACACACATATGCACACACTTATACATACAGGCACATCTGCTATCCTTAGTCCTTGGGTAATCTGTTCTGACCTCAGATTGGCCTAAATGTACATGTACAGCAACATGCTAGGTTAAATAAATTAGATTTCTGATTGCGACAGTTCACTTTAAATAAGTGAGGTAGGCTAGAATGTTCAGTTATAGGTAAAGAAAGTTTAATATTTCTCTGGGTTTTCAGTGATTTTTCTATCTTTCTGCTATATGACAATATAAGGCATTAGTTAAGAGGGTGGGTTTGGACCCAAATTATTGATGTTCAGTACCATCTCTGCCACAATCTAGCTATAATAACAGACTGCTCACTAGCGTTCTCTACTTTCCTTTCTCTGTGGGGTTGATGTGAATAATAATGCTGGGCTCTGAAGGTTGATTGTTTCGAAGAATCCATGACAATACATATAAAGCAGTTAGGTTTGCACTTGAACACTTAAAGCCCTCAAAAATGTTTTTTTTTTTTTCCTGAGTTCTCCTGAGAACTAACCCACATAAAGGATAAAAGGGAAAGAATAGATGTTGATGCATTACTACAATTTGGATCATATAAACTCTGCTGAAATAGAAATTGATTTGAAAGGATGCAATATTCTTGAGGACTGTCAAATAAATGGTAAAAAGACCAAGTTTTATAACTCTTGACTATAGACATAACATATGTATACATATTTAAGGTAATTCTTGAAGTTTTTGAAGGCTCTAGAGCTCAGTCCCACATTTCACTGTTATACCCTTTCTATTGTTGTTAAGTGCACCTTTAATTGAACAACAGAGTATAGTATTTCACACGGTGACCATGATGCTTTGATCCTCCCAGATATGGTCCATTGATGTGTGAAGATCTAACTCTGCTCACTAAAATCAGAGCTGAAAGAATCAGGCAAAAAGTTTTAATCTCATCTTTAACATTTTAATAGTCTTTATTTCCTTAAGTTGTAACACTACCAAAAATGTTTTCCAGTAAATTATAATCAATACCAATGAGATGCCTAAAATATATTTTTAATTATGGAAATTAAGGTAGGTTTTTAAAAAACAAGAGCGTGGGACAACCTTATGTGAAACGATAAGCTTTAAATATACAAAAAAGAAAATCTGAAATCACAAAGAGATGTATTTGGTAGTCACTTAGTTTCAATGAAAACTGTAAATATTGGCTATTTCCCAATTTCAACACATTGTGATGGTTGATGATTCAACTCAATAATAACTGATCCCAGGGAGAGGCCTTCAAGCCACAAACTTCTTCATTCCATTCACTTCTGAGTCTATAAAATAACTGTAATAATCCAGGGCCAGTCACTTCTAATTTCTTACAACAGCATCCACGAGAAGGAACTGGCTGAGAGGTCTGAGGTATGAATGGTCTTAAATATTATAAACTGAGGTAGATAAATGATAGATGATAGATAGATAGATAGATAGATAGATGATAGATAGATAAACAGTAGACCGATAGACATATCCTGTAAAATGCCAGAATTAATATTATTGAGACTGTCATGCAATTGTTGCTTGACTTTGTACTTAATAATTAATGATTTGAGGTATCATGTTTTATCATTATACCCAACAGCCATAGTACAATGCTTTACAGTTATGCTCTGTGTGTGTTTACGTCTGTGAGGACTGTGTGTGTGGTGTGTGTGGGGGTGTAAAATTGCCTATTTTGCCAATCCTCCCATAGAATTCTAAACTTCACTGCAATTTTAAATCCTTATCTTATTACAATAACATCATCTGGTATTTTTCTAAATCCTGATTTGAATTTTGACCAATATGATCAAAAATAAAGACAGACTTCAAAATGTGAGTACATTTTTTTCTTTTACATTTTATTTTTCTGTCTCATAGTTAGGAAGCATCAAGAGGTGATGAAATACCTCCATTAATTGCCCAAAGCCATCTCCAAATAATAATAACGATATGGGCAGGGCACCTGGGTAGCTCAGTTGGTTAAGTGTCCGACTTCAGCTCAAGTCATGATCTCACAGTTTGTGGGTTCCAGCCCCGCGTTGGGCTCTGTGCTGACAGGTAGCTCAGAGCCTGGGGCCTGTCTTCAGATTCTGTGTCTCCGTCTCTCTCTGACCCTCCCCTGCTCACACTGTCTCTCTCTCTCTCTCAAAAATAAAAATAAAGCATTAAAATTTTTTTTAAAAATAATAATGATATGAGCAATTGACATTTTCCTGAATGTAAAACTTTAAATAATCTTCAGAAAACTTGGTAATGTGTTGACCTATAATTGCATAAATAATTAAATACTTAATTTAGCTCAGTTTTATCAAAAATTTATTGGCAATTATAACTAATACATTATAACGATGTGTATGATAAGATAAAGAGACTACAATTGAATTTAATTGTATACAATTAAATATAAAATGAAATGCTTTGGAAATGTCCTTTCCCATATGTCAAAAATAGGTCGTTCTAAACAGCATGGAATTTTATGGGTTTCCTGAGAACCAATTCAAATAGTTCTATCACCTAAACTAATTTATAGACATTATTACAATGTTTTGAACTTCCTGAGATCAGTAAATGACTGATTACCCCCACACTACCATTATCTGTACATAAACTGAGGCTGTGTTTTATTCCAGAAACTACTTTTATTACCATATACAAAGAAGTATTATTCTGAAATGATATGTGAAAGTTAATTTTTATGAGAACTGAGGCAACATAATTGTAAAGTTGCAAAGTATCTTTGATTTTACCTAAAAAACAATGTGCTCCATAAACAAACAGATTGATGCCCTAAGATTAAGTGATTTGCCTAAAGTCAGACTTGTTAGTAACATAATCTGTCCTACAACTGGATTTTCTAAATATATGCTAACATTTGGTCCTTCTTCTGACTTCTAGGATATTTCTGAATAAAATGAAAGTTCTCCTTCTGATCACAGCCATCTTGGCTGTAGCTGCTGGTTTCCCCGTAAGTATCCATTTCTATATTCCAGAGTATTTATGATAAATATTTCAGAGTATTTATGATTTTTTTGTTGTAATTCAAGAATCCTAGGAATTTTTCCCCCACACACTGTATTTCTACTTTATAAACATGCCTGATATCTGCCCCTTTAATATGATGTTCTGGAAAATATTGTCAATCACATATTGTTCAGTGCTTAGTTCAATCCATATAGCCTTGATACAGTGGTGAATGTTAATCATTTAGAATACATATTAACATTTTTCAGAAAAATGTTTACTATAATGTTTTTTGGATGCACAAATCCTAGAATTTTTTTAAAAATTGGATGGTATAAATAATATTAAGTAGTAGAAAAATTATTTCCTTCACATATATGTATATATTTCTCAGCTTGTGTCTCTCATCAACATGAGTTGAACTAATTTCACTATTTGAGTTTTAGGTCCCTCAAGACCTGGTAAGAGAACAACGAAGTGTAAGTTACATAACCTCTTTTTAACATGGAAGATGTCCACGTGAAATATCCTTAACTGTGGTCACAGTTCCTTGATCTAACCTTCTCAAACTCTAGAGAAAACCCTAAAGAGTTTATGTAAAGCATTCAACAAAACAGACTTCAAAAATTTGATCTTGCTTGTATAAAGGGAATTGTATCAGCATCTCATGTAACAATGGAACCAAAATGAAACTTGAATCACTCAGAGATATACTTGGTTAAAACATTTTTGTTCGAATTATCTAGCCTAATAGAGGCTCTTAATTGTTCATGTCTCCACTCTGCTTCACTCTACAAAGTTCATTCTAGAAAAGGTAAAATAATAATAATAATAATAATAATAATAATAATAACTTGAGAATTAGGAGATATGGATCAGTTTGGTGATCTTGCCAGTGACAAATTCACCAAAGGATTATTTTGGTCTAAACAGTTACTCAAAATTTGTTAAGAAAAAAAAAATTAAAGTTGAAGAGGAAGGGTCTTATTTTAGGATGTTTATCCTCATAGAAATCTATCTGAAAGGAAGCGTGCTTTTGAGGCCAAAGAAATAAACGGTTTAAAGATTCAGAAATTGATAGAAATATAAATAGAAGATAAGAGAGAGAAAAAAGAAAAATAAAGAGAGATAAAGAGAAGACTGGGCCTAACACAAAGTTTGGGTAAAGATCTAGTTTGGGAGAAATCTGATGTTCCCTCATAAAACCCCCTCCCTCTATGCCTTATAGTTAAAAGTGATTAGCAGGAAAATTTGGCTATGAGTAGAAAAGTATGAAGATAGTTATCTCTAAGTAATTTCCTTAAGTTTTCTAAAATAATGCAAATTAATTAAACCCCAGTTCATAGTACACAGAGGAAAGGTAAATGATCCTAGAACTTCTAAATCCCCTACTTAAAAATGAAGACCCACATGCTAAAAGGCTATTTTATCTCTCTCCATCATGAAGAGTAAAACAAGCCTTTTTTATTTCTTTCTTTCAACAGGTCAGTGGGAGCAATGAGTCACCTTCACAGTTTTATGTGCCCCCGTACCCATTTCCATTTGGCCCATATTATATACCATTCCTGTATCAAGGACATCCCTGGTTTCCACCTCAATTAGTTCCAATACCTCTGTCTGAGCCCACAATTTCGCCTCCTAGTGGAGAGTAAATAAGAAAAGTCCCACTGCAATTTAAAATGAAATAGATGGTAAGTACATGCAACACAAAGCATGTGTTTTTTTAAGTAGTCTGTGAATTATAATGTACCATTCCATGAAATATATATTGCAATGTTCCTACTTATGGCCAGTAAGTTACAATTTGTTTCGCTTTTTTTCTCTAGGGTAGAATGGTGTTAGGTGTCCACTAGGAGGTACTTACCTGTGTCCTTCCATGATCAAAGTAGCACAGCAGTTTAAATACCTCCATTGCGCTGACACAATAGAAACAGACTCTTTCCTTTATTACTAATATATTTCTAACTTTTAAAATATTTTCTACTCTCAACATTTGTGCATATTTGGGCTAAATCAGAGATCTAAAGGAGGCAAAACTTCAACTAATGAACAGATGAACATCTGCGCATATCAGGTCTAAGGCAGACCTCAGCCTATTCCTTAGAAAATCATATAATTTTCTAATTAATATTAAAAATTCAAAGCTAGCTTCTGATGGTCATATCATAATAAAAATCCTAAAGGCTGAATATCCCATGTATAAGAGGCCCAGATCATTTCATCATACCAAAACGAAAGCAACTGGATTAATTGAAGGAATGCAGACTAAGATTACATTAGGACCAAGAGGACTGTTTTAGGAAACAAAAAGTTTCAGCTATTACCTACTATTAAAGGCCTCTGCCTCTTTTCCTGCATCTACTCAAGTCGTCTTGAGCATAAAGCTTCCCAGTTGTTGGACTAGATTTACTTTTAAAGCAATCTTTGTAATTAAAAAGTAAAAAAATTATAAGTTCACATGCAAATGACCTATCTGGATTAATAACTGAGCACTTATCATTTATTTCAGGTCACTGCAAAGTTGAATGTGAGCCACTTACTTGAAGAATCAATATTCCTGCTAATAAAATGAAAATAAATGTGACTGAGTAGCGTCCAGTATTCTCTCACAGATATTTTTCATGGCCCTCTTTAGTAGATAAAAGAGAAGACCTTGGTTTCCTACTTTCTAAATCTGCTTTGCTGGTAGGAATGCAAAATCATTTTTAAGAGATTTTAGTATATATCTCTTGATGACTAACCGTTCTATAAAAAGTATGGGGAGTGAGGTGACCAACATCAACCAGTCCCGGAAGTACCTTGAGTAAAAGTCTACCCACCAGCTTATGCTGAATAGTTGCACCAATTCTATTAATAAGAGCTAGAAGTGGATTTAATTTAATTCAAAAATATTTGAATAATTGTGCCTCAATTGCTCAATTGAGTCTGTAATTTATATACTATAGGATATAAGCTTGATATGTTGGTAAAGGATATCAAAAACAATCAAGTACTTTAACTTCAAAAAACTGATGAGAAAGATCCGAAAAATAGATTGATATCATGCTTGCAGTTTACAAAGTGCTTTTCTGAATCATTAGATCAGCCAATAATCACCAATCTCTGTTTAGTAATCACATTTCATATGTGGGGAAACAAAAGATGATGCAAGTCCTATAGACCTACACACAGACCTAGCACATGGCAGAAAAGAAATACAAACCAAGCCTATCCAGCTCTTATGTTTTTGCCAGCAGCATATGTACTAAAATAAATCCTGAGTCTAGGACTTCACAATGGCAGTGTCAAAGACTAGTTAAGTCTGTCTGTGTTCATTTTATTTCAAGAGGAAAATTCAGACCCCTGCTAATAAATGTAACTGCTACCCATTTCCTTCTCTGCTAATCTAGATGTCACACTGCCACCAGAGTTATCTTTCAAAACGTACACTGACTTGTATCTCTGACCTCTCAAATGGCTTGGAAGGCTTTATATTATCTTAAGTATAAACCCATCCGCCCTTCGCCCCCACCCCCCACCCCGCCACCACATGGTGTCCAAGGCCTTTTGCAAACTAACCTAGGGCTTCCTTTTGAATTCCCATGCCATGAGCCAGCCTCCCCCCCAGCTCCGTGTGTTCTACCACCCTATTGCCATTTCCCACAACTGGCTTTCACTCCCACACCCTATGACTCTGCTTAGGTGCTCTCACTTCGTACAATGTCTATTCCTTGGGTTCACTGTTTAAATCCAATTTATCTCTCAAGATCCAAATCCAGTATCATGACCTTCATGAAAAACTTTCTCCTGTATCTCCAAACAGAGTGAATAACTCACTACTCTGACCTTCCTCCACTACATTTTTACTTTCACTTTTTAAAATAAATTTTATTATACTTAAATTTCTAATAAAATCATTCATTTACATTGCTGTATCTTTCTTGAGAAGACTGTAAGTTCCTGCAGTAACACAATAATATAACTATTCTCTAGCACTTAGCAAAGTACTCAGTGAATATTTGAGAAATAAAATATATTAAGAAAACTTTCAAATTCTTAATGTTAAACAAGATAGCTCTTTCATATCTCTGACCTATATCAATACATAAATTAGCAGAATATTCCTCTTTGTGAAAAAAAACTTCTTAAAAATCAATACATCAATGGTAACAATTTTCTCTTAATCAATTAATAGCGTTAGCACAACAAATTGAGTAAATTTGTGTCTATTCATACTTTACCACAGAAACTGTAGGACCCGTAAAATGTGAAGTCATGAATAAAATTTTTTATCACAAGACAATACAGGTTGGGTAGAAGAATAGAATAGAAGAAGAGATAGATCGACACAGATGACACATCTCAAAGGATTTAACATTTGTGTCAGCTATGGAAAGACTAAGTTCAGAGGCTTTTAGTTAACCAAGTAACATTCCTTTTCATATAAAGTAAATGCACACAGCAAAGATTGTTCAAACTTCATTGTAGAACAACTTGTCCTGATCATCAGCTTCCATAAATCTCATGGTGAGCACTCTAGAAACAAACCCCTGAAAGAGGAAAAGGTAGCAGGTGGTGATGAAAATAAACTTTCCTGCAGTAAATGACAAAACAGCATCCAACAAGATACTACTTACACAATGACCCTTTCATTGTGTCACAATGGCAACCTTTGTCCCCGTAGGTCAATTATCAGGAAATTGGGAAAATTCTCTTTGAACAAAGATTACATTTCTCCACTCCAAGTTAAAAGTGTTCATACCTAACCCTTCAACATCAATGAGGGAAATTCTGCCGTGACCCATAAGCTGGCTACAAATCAAGGCCAGCCTAATGAACCTCTTGGCATGACTTGAACAGGGAAACTGCTGTCTCCCTTGGTCATTTTCAAGGATCAGAGGTTGCTCAAATATTAAATATTCTTCAAGGATCAGAGGTTGCTCAAATATTAAATATTCATTCTTTGGTATTAAAGTCAGTGATCCCATTTAAAACAATGGGAGGTAGAAAGAAGACCAAACTGTCCTCAATATAACTTGGTAAATTAATTTTATAGCAATTGTTTCACAGTCTTACAGCTGACAGATTGGAGGTGATTGCATGACTGAGGAAAGACAGTAAAGGGAAACCAGGATAGAGAAAAATGAAGGTAGGAAATCAAAGCCCTGAAGCAGAGTCAAAGGCAAAGCTTCACTGCTCTAAAGTTTAGGAACACCAACTCTCTAGTTTACTGTCTTTCCTCTGTTTTGTTTATTTAAGCCTTTGATATATGTCCTTAATTCTCAGATTGGAAGTTTTATTTTATTCACTTCGAACTATATCACTGTAACTCCCTGGGAAGAAAAAAAAGAAGAAACTGTCTTTAACTTTTAACTACTACATTTGTGAAGCAAATGCATTCTATTAAAATTAATCCACTACTCCCCCCAGTAGACTTGGGCATTCCTGGTCCTGATACTTTTGACTATTGTGACTAGGGAGATAATTTCAAGATGAAAGTGTCAATCAAAACTCATTTTTTTTTTTGTAATCTAATGTTGGTTTACCAGAATAGGATCCACAAGAACATTGTCTCTCAAAGTGCATTTCTTGTAGCATTAATCTTACCAGATGGACTCTGCATTAAATATTCATCCTCAAACTCAAAATATCTCTTGAAACTTTATAGTATACATGCATAACATTCTTGAAAATGTCCGTTTAGAACATCATTTGCTTAACTATGCTTCCCAAACTAAACCGACCCTATGACAGCACAATCACCATCTCATTTAAAATAGTTGATAAAATTAGTGTGCAACTGAACACACTGTTATTTAAAATTTAATCTTCTGTAGAGACACTACTTTACCACATTCATGTGGAGTATTCTATACCAACTATTGAAAAAGGCTTTTATGGAAAAGTAAACATAAAGCTAAATTCATCTCCACTATTTCCCTTGGGATGAAGACTCACATTTCCCCATAAGATATTTCATTCATTCACTAAAAACTAAATATTCATTTTGTGTCAATAATTGTGATAAATGCTAGAGATTTGGACAAAAGGATTTTTTCCCTTAAGGATCTTATAGTCTAGTTAGGAGAGAGTAACATGTATACAATTTCAATAAATGTAATAAGCATTCCAGTAAAGTATTCACAGAGGCTTTTTGGGAGTAGAGGGAGTTGTTTGTTTTTAAAGCCGAAGAGAAGGGCATGCCTGGGTGGCTCAGCTGGTTAAGTGTCCAGCTCTTGGTTTCAGCTCAGGTCATGATCTCATGGTTCGTGGGTTCAAGCCCCACATCAGACTCTGCACTGACAGCATAGAGCCTGCTTGCCTCCCCCTTTCTCTGGCCCTTCCTTGCTCATGTGCTCCCTCTCATTTAAAGTAGAAGGGAAACTAGCCTTACCTACACAAATTAGAACAGTTCCCACAAGGGACTTTGAGCTGAACCTTAATGGATAAAAAAGTAATTGACAAGTAAGTAAACACAAATTAAATGTTTAAACAGATGTTTACTGGGTGGATAAACTCTATACTCAAATTAGTATTTTTAATGACATTTATCTTCATTAAGCAAAGAAAAAAACAACAAAAGATGGTACTGAAATAATTTATAATCTGCTTCTAATGGATAAAAGTGAATATACAAAGTTATCTTAACCTTAGGGATAACCTCTGATCTGAGAAACAAGAGAAGGTGATAAATATCTTACTATGTTCTTGTTCAGTACATAACATTTCTGTTAATTTTTCATATGGATATAGAGAACAAATATCACCTGATGAGTCATCTCCTTATATAAATGGCTAAGACATCCAGGAGCTAGTATTTCTCCAGAATTCTATGTGAATTCAATAATACCCCAGCAGAGTTACTCCACCGGATAAACGTCTGGCTGAAATTTGGTCAAACCAAGGCAAATGAAGGAAATTAGTAGCAATAGAACAAGGTGAAAGTGAGGCACCATGAGCTGAAAGACTCCTCCCTCCAACAGCTTAAAAACACATCTAACTTCTCTCAACAATCCAAGACTTTAGTAGGGGAAGGAAATACAACCAGGGGCCATGTGGATATCTAGCAGCAACCACTCCAAGAGAGAGCCCAGTGAGAACCCAGCTCCACCAACAATCAGAGAAAAGTCAGTTTTAGTGCTCGCACAGGAAAATCAATCCCAGAAAACCTATCTCTCATCCAGTAGCTCTCCAGTGAAGTAAATCAGAATTCCAGGGAAAACAGAGAATATGCCTCTCCACTTCTGGAGTTCTTCATGACCAGCTTCTGATGTCATCCAGAAGAAAGTAGTGAATCCCAAACTTTCAAGTGTATAAAAAACTATTTAGGTGCTTATTTCCTTTCTTTAAAATTTTCAGGTTTATTTTTATTTATTTTTTGAGAGAGCAAGAGCAAGTGGGGGAGAGGCAGAGAGCAAGGGAGATAGAATCCCAAGCACAGACAGAGCCTGGTGATAGGCTCAAACTCACAAACCATGAAATAATGACCTGTGTGGAAGTCAAGAGTTGGATGCTTAACCAGCTGAGCCACCCAGGCACCCTTAGGTGCATATTTCCTATGCAGATTTCCAGGGACA